GGGGGGGGGGGGTGTTTCTATTGTATTTTTGGGTCTGATTTTTTTTTTATCCACTTTTTTTTTGAAGGGGCTTTTCGGGGTTACTGACACTTGGGACTGTTGACAATGGCAGTGTTGGCTTGCGGCAAAATCCTATAGGATCCAATATCCTGGATGGGCGATCGTTAAAGGGACTGGGGGGTATCTAGGTATACGGAGAGTGGGGGTAAAAGGGCCTGCTGTGGGCCAAGTCGAGGGATTTCCCCGTCCTTGAAGGGACTCTGACGTCTGTCGGCTCCGCCACGTACCTTCTTAAAGGAAACAGTGTTTCTCATTTGGATTTGACAGTATGGGATAAATTTTTATTTATGCTCCGATGCGAACGAATCGGCTTGCGCCATCTATTGGATAAGAACTAATGCATACGAATATATCAGTGACGAGGTGAATTGGTGATAAATAATTTTTGGGTGAAAATTAACGATGGGATCGTTTCGCCACGTTGACCGAGGTGTCAAAAAAGGGTGATAAAAAAAAATAATGTCAAAACTACCCTCTGCGGTACCCTTTCTCCTTGAAACATATTGTTTCTCATTAATCGAGCTACCCAAATCCTCGAGCAAGCTCACGCTACCCCATACTAATTGCATCTAATTAATTAGTTTCATCCCTTGACGTTCCTTGATGCTTTTTTTTTCAACTCTTCGGACCGAAGAATTGCTAGATCGGGGTATAGGGGTTTTCTTCAAGGGGTAGTTATGACATGGTTTAACTACACTTACAGGCGGTGCATGATTAAGGGCGGGCAGGGTGTTGAGAACCGTTCGGGATGCAGGAGGCAAGTAGCTCGTGCCCTGGCCAGGTGCTCACCTGCCCCCTTGATGGGTGGTGGTTCTGGTAGGCGCCCCCTTTTCCCGGGTCTCTGCCTTTACCGGGGGTGCAGGTTTACCCGTAGAGCCAACGCACCCTAAGTGTTGGTTAGGTTATGTTGTATAGGCCAGGCTCTCAGTATTCGTGCAGGTAAACGTCTGCTCCAGGCCCTCCTGGGGCACTGACCTACCCCCGGAATTCTCCGAAACCGTTAGCGATCAGCTGTTCGATTTGCAAAAAGCATCCCTTATTTTTTTAACACTTTTTTTGTCTACTCAAAATTTTTTTATTCACTTTTTAAATCCAATATATCGTCCGCCAGTTGGCTGACAAATTTTTCGCGCCTTTCGAAAATTTTTTTATCGTTCAAATACACTTTTTGAATTATTAAAATTATCAGTATACCCAAACGTATTATCGGGTATCGATTATACATTAACGGGATATTTAAGATTTTAAAAATCGTTTATGGTCGTGCATAACAGCGAACGGGCAAATTTTTCCTATTTTCCTAAATTTTTTCGATTTTCTTCAATTTAACGTACCGATAGTACCGTAAACGGTTAATTTAGTAAAAGAAAACCAAGTACCAGACAGATTAATTCCTGGAGGATTTAACAAACAGGGCGATGAACATTTTCAATTATATCACGTTCAGCATCGGTACGCCGAATGACGGTTCGACGAATGATTCGCATTCCTGCACAGCTGCACGAACTGGCACGAGGAGGACCTTCCGCCATGATCCTAAATGGATCTGCGCAAAGAAGCTGCGCTCCGTTAAAGGACAGATACCGAGCACGTAGACTCCAGACGTAAGAAGAGAACAAAAAATTTAAAAAAAAAAGCAAAAGAAAAGTTACATGCGAACACTGATTACAGGGGGGGGGGTGTTAAAAATTTGGCGCCCATTTTTGAAAC